CGGCGCTGCTGCGGCCGCCTCGCCTGGCTCGGGCGCGTCTATGAGAAGCCCAGCGACGGATGCCGCCGTTCCTGCTGCTCCCCTTCTCCGCTTCGGCAGCTGGGAAATGATCGCAAGAAGCTGAGGAAGAAATAAGAAGCGGCTGAAAGAGACCCCCATCCCGGCGAAAGAAAGGGGAGGGGGGAGGCCGGCCCCAGACCTCGCACGACCTTTGCAGCCGGGACTGGCCGGAAGGTTCTCCGTCCCGTTCCTCTCCTTCCCCTGCGCCTCCTTCCTGCTTCCCCGTCTCCTGTTGCCTCCCGTCCCGGGGGGTTTTGGAGCCGCCGCCGCCGCCGCGTCCCCAAATCTCTCCCTCTGACTCCCTTCGCAGAAATAGCGGCGGCGCCAGCGGGCGGCTCCGATCCTTCGAAACCTATCAGAAGGATTCAAAGCGCAGATATCGTTACTCTTCTTGTTCTTGTTATTAGCAGTATTATTTGCTCCAAAGCCAGACATAGATAGACAGACAGATAGACACGCACGCACACAGACACGCACTCACACGCATACGCGCACACACACACAGACACACACACAGAGGGAGCCTAGGAAAACGAAAGGCGGCAAAGCGCCGGGGCGCACTTTCCCTCGGTCGGGACCATGGCCTCTTGCTTGTCGCCGGCTGCCCGGACGCCGCGGTGACTCGTCTATGCCCGCTTCCCACGACCGGCCAGCCCCGCTCTCGCCTCTTTCCCCGACGGTCCTGCCGCGCTTCCTCCTGGGCGGCTCCTCCTGCCAAGCGGAGGGAGTCGGGACTGGGCTCCGGCGGCGGCGAAGCTCGGGAGCGGGAGAGAACGAAGGGGGAGCGGCGCCGGCGGACCGCGTTGGATGAATTTCCCCATGAGAGAGCCCGTGATCCCTGGGACGAGCATGGCTTACCACCCCTTCCTACCTCACCGGGCGCCGGACTTCACCATGAGCGCCGTCCTGGGTCACCAGGCTCACTTCTTCCCGGCCCTGGCCTTGCCGCCCAACGGGGCTGCTGCGCTCTCGCTGCCCGGAGCCTTGGCCAAGCCGATCATGGATCAACTGGTGGGGGCGGCGGATTCCGGCCTCCCCTTTTCCTCTTTGGGACACCAAGCTGCGGCCCATTTGCGGCCTTTGAAAACGCTGGAGCCGGAAGAAGAGGTGGAGGACGACCCCAAAGTCCATCTGGAAGCTAAGGAACTCTGGGAGCAGTTTCATAAACGGGGGACGGAGATGGTGATCACCAAGTCGGGAAGGTAAGCAGGCGGTCAAAACCTTTCGGCACAGGTTTCCCAAGAGAAACTGTTCGGCGCGGGGAAAATGGTCAGAGAAGGGCATCGCCAGCTTTCTGAAGGACAAAGTGAGCCGTGGCTGTGTGCAAAGCCCAAATGGTGGTGTAAAGGACCCCCAAATACACACACACTTACCTGCATGCATGCCCACCTTCAGCTGTGTGGATGGAAGGAGAGAGGCTGGCTGCATTCTGCATCTCCTGGTTTTCAGGGTTTTTTAAAATTACAACTGAACCCTTTCAGAGACCCACCAAAAGAACTGGAGTTGGCTTCCTTCCTTCCAAGAAAACTTGGACAGGGAAAAGCAAGGATGAACTCCTGAACTCAGACAAAAAAACCAAAAATTGCCTACAGCCCTTTTCTGGTCATAAAATCATTTTAGACAGTTTCCAAGGAAATGCGTTTGGGAGCTGGCTTCTGCCTCCCCTTTCCAAAAAGAAAAGAAAGAAAAAGGAAATAAAAGTGTGGGGGGAGATATTTTTCAACAAGCGTAACTAGGATCTGGATGTCTGTTTACTTTTTATCCCAGTTTTTAATCAGGTGCAGGAGGCCCTGGCTAACCTAGGCCTCACTGTTCAATTCTGGAACATTTGAAAAATGTCTAAGGAAGGAAGGAACTGTGTTTCTCCCTCTGCAATCACCACCCCTCCTCTATTCCAACTTTCCAAACTTTGATCGCAGCTTAAGACTTTACACAAAGGGGGTCTTTTCTGTTTTATGGAGGTCTCTACAATTAGGGAAAATCTAATGATCATTGAATGGTTATTTCATTCTGATGCTGGGACAAAATATAATAGTAGGGAATGTTCCCCCAAATAAATATGAACTGCTCTTAAGGTCTCAGAGGGTTACTGGGATTTATAGTTTAAGACCCATTCAAAATGGCATGAAATCTAGAAACAATTGGTGAAAAGAAAATGTTCAGCGGCATTACAAGGGGGCTTGCAGTTATTGGTGTGTGTATGAGTGTGTGTGTGTTTTGGGAGGGTTGTTTCTCAAAAGGGACCAAACAAGATTTCTTGCAGACATTTCTAAAAAGGGTATTTGGACCTCAGTTAACTCTAAACAGCAAAAAAAAAAAAAAAATTGCACAGCATTGCAGTTTGGAAATCATGGAAGCCAGGGGGACTCCCCCCCCCCCCGCCGCCACCACCATATGAGATAGATTAATTGTCCACCTGGTTGTTGTTGATAACAATAATAAATAATAATACCCCTATTATTAGCAAAAATAAAATAAAATAATATTCACCTTGTTTGTTTCTAGGAGAATGTTTCCACCTTTTAAAGTGAGATGTACGGGTCTGGATAAAAAGGCTAAATACATTTTATTGATGGACATTGTGGCGGCGGATGATTGTAGATATAAATTTCATAATTCGCGATGGATGGTGGCTGGCAAAGCTGACCCTGAAATGCCCAAAAGAATGTATATCCATCCGGATAGCCCGGCCACAGGCGAACAGTGGATGTCCAAAGTCGTCACTTTCCACAAACTGAAACTGACTAATAATATATCGGACAAACATGGATTTGTAAGTGTTTTCCACTTGCTTAATGTTTCCCCCTAACTCCCACCCCCCTTGGCGTAAATCTTGTCTTTGCGTAGACTTTTAAAAGAAAAGATATTTGCAAAATAGGAAGACTAGAAATTCAGGCCTGCCGGAGAGATGGGGCCACTGTTTACTTCTTTACAGAAATGGTTGAAAACGCAGCGATTGTTGTACGTTCCAGTTTTTTTTTTTTTTAATTAACTCCAGGTTTTAACAAGAAGTTGGGGAGCGGGGCAATCCTATCTTTTGGCCTGAAGATGACCTATTATAATATTGTGCTTAGTGTCTTTAGGAAGGAGTGGGGGGAGAAGATCAAGATTTTGAGGGTATGGCAATATGGCAACAAGAATCAAGAATCATTCTGAAAACCTAATGAGCGAAACTTCCCCAAATCATGGAGTCTTGCTTTTATACATTGGCAAGAACTGAATTCTATTTAAAGTGGGGGGAAGGAAGGAAGGAAGGAAGGAAG